ATATATATATATATAGATAGATAGATAGATAGATAGATAGATAAAATGTTTTTGACAAAAGCTAATTCAAGAACAATGATTTTTCCTTCTATTACTTATACCTTTTGTTCTAAGAGTGCCCTCCGGAGGGAGACTCTCTGTTCAAGCTCCCGAAGCTCTCGATCATGCTGTGCCTCAGCTTGCATCTTGATTTTGCTCTGATATGCATTCAACAGCTCCAGTTCCTGCTGTAGCTGCATCTTCAAAACCTGGCACTCTGCTTCCTGTGCTTCATCCAAACGCAGCTGAGAGAGAAAACAGATATAACCTACTGTTAGCTATCTATTCATGACCTATGGAAAGGAGAAGGAGTGTTAGAAGACAGACTACTCTTTTGTAGTTTAGACTATTTTTCTCTCTTGTATCTTAGAGTAAACATCTCTGAAAAAGAAAGACAGAATAGCCAATAATAGCATTATGAAGATAAAGGTATCACAAGCTATTTGGAGGATGCATGAATAACCCTATTTTTCTTAAGAAACACCTAGAATCTCATTAGGTGATATAAATCTCATCTCTTCATCTCTAGTGGAAATAACTGTAAAACAAAGACTAGCAAATTACAGTCTACAAAGTATGGGCAGGTGCCTGTTTTGTTGTTTTTTGCAGCCCATGAGCTAAGAATGGTGTTTTCATTTTGAAAGGGTAATATCTTAAATGGTTATGTAAGTATCCACATAATATCCTTAGTTTTACCTCCTGCCTAAAAAGTCTTATGTGGCCATAAAAATGATTTACCTGGCCCTTTTTATTTTTTTTGAGACGGAGTCTTGCTTTGTCACCTAGGCTGCAGTGCAGTGGTGCAATCTTGGCTCATTGCAACTTCCGCCTCCCGGGTTCAAGTGATTCTCCCACCTCAGCCTCCTGAGCAGCTGGAATTATGGGTGCCCACCACCAAGCCTGGCTAATTTTTGTATTTTTAGTGGAGATGGGCATTTGCCATGTTGGCCAGGCTGGTCTCAAACGCTTGACCTCAGGTGATCCACCCGCCTAGGCCTCCCAAAGTGCTGGGATTACAGGTGTGAGTCACTGCACCTGGACTTATCTGGCCCTTTACAAAAAAGTTTACAAAGCTCTTATATAGAAAATACTTTGCGCCTGTAATCCCAGCTACTCAGGAGGCCAAGGCAGGAGAATTGCTTGAGCCTAGAAGGCAGAGGTTGCAAAGACCTGAGACTGCACCACTGCAATCCAGCCAGGGCGAAAGGGCAAAACTCCATCTCAAAAAAAAAAAAAAAAGTATTTGTACTCAAACACAACCATTTTTATTCCCATTATAATAATATCTTTTACCCACTGCTTCCCAAAGCTGCTGTTCCAATCTTAATAAGGTGTTGGGATTTGTGCTGGCAGGGAGCCTATTTAGAACCTCATGTCTAAATGTATCAATGAGAATTCTACATGCATCATGACATTTTCAAGCAATGTTGAGAACAGGAAGAAAATGAACCACCACCATATTTCCCGAGCTGCAGGAGAGCTATCATTTCCAACTAGTACTTTAACTGCTGTGATTTCATTCAGGTGGAAGAAAAGGGGCACTAAATCTGCTTTGTCCAAAAAAAGCAAACTCACAGCTTGTGTGGAGAGCATTTCGTTAATGCTGTGATCATATTGCTCAGCCAAGATAGCTAATTTCCGGGTCTGCTCCTCCTTGAGCCGTTTCAGAACAGCTTTGTGCTCACTCTTTGGTGTAGTCTCCAGCAGGTGATTTCTTAATGCTTTGTACTGTCTGGTTTGGATTTTGCAGGTATCCTGAAACTGCTTTTTTATTTGGAGTTCTTTAGACTGAGAAGAAAAAAAAAATGGGTTTATGTAAGTAATAACATAAGGCATTTGGTATGTGTTATGCTTACATACATGAAAATAAAGAATATTAGGAAAAAAGGAGAAGAAAACCAAAAAGGTCAGATCATGAGGCTGCAGGTACTTTTTGCACTTGGCTATTGGGCCAAACCTAATTTTATGCAGTTTTACAAGAAAAAACCTCATTTAAAATATTAGGACATAAAGAACCCCATTTATCACAGGACTTCAAACAATATCTGTTGTTTCACTAATAAGATTAGTGACTTGAGTAGATATTAAAATCAGCTTTGATTACTATGCATATTAATGACAGAAAATTACATTTCTTTTCTTTTCTGAGATGGGGTCTTACCCTGTCACCCAGGCTGGAGTGCACCACTGCACTCCAGCCTGGGTGACAGGGTGAGGAGATATGAGAAAGAGATATGAGGAGGTGACAGAGATAGGAGGCTATGCTCAAGCAATCCTCCCATCTCAGCCTCCTGAGTAGCTGGGACCACATGTGTGCGCCACCACGTCCAGTGAATTTTTATTTTTTTGAGACGGAGTCTCATTCTGTCGCCCAGGCCAGAGTGCAATGGCACCATCTCAGCTCACTGCAACCACCACCTCCCAGGTTCAAGTGATTCTCCTCCCTCAGCCTCCCAAGCAGCCGGGATTACAGGCATGTGCCACCACGCCCAGCTAATTTTTGTATTTTTAGTAGAGATGAGGTTTCACCATGTTGGCCGGGCTGGTCTTGAACTCATGATCTTAAGTGATCTGCCTGCCTCGGCCTCCTAAGTGCTGGGATTACAGGCGTGAAACACCGCACCTAACTGCACCTGGCCGATTTTTGTATTTTTTTTTGTAAAGACAGGGTTTCACCATGTTGCCTAGGCTGGTCTTGAACTCCTGGGCTCAAGCAATCCACCTGTCTTGGCCTCCTAAAGTGCTAGGATTACCAGCATGAGCCACCATACCTGGCTTCTGGCTAATTTTTTTTTTTTTTTTTGGTAGATATGGGGTTTCCCTGTGTTGCCCAAGCTGGTTTCAAACTTCTGGCCTCAAGTGATCCTCCCACCTCAGCCTCTGAAAGTACTGTAATTACAGGCATGAGCCACTGTGCCTGGCTTAGAAAATTAAATTTTTTCTCATGAATTAATTGTAATAGATTTATGGTGGCTTACATCTGTAATCTCACTACTTTGGGAAGCCAAGGCAGGATTGTTTGTAGGCCAGGAGTTCTAGACTAGCCTGAGCAACATAGTGAGACCCCATTTCTACAAAGCAGTTTTTAAAATTAGCCAGGCATCGTGATGTGCACCTGTAGTCCTAGCTAATAGGGAGGCTGAGGCAGAAGGATCACTTGAGCCCAGGAGTTCTAGGCTGCAGTGGGCTGTGACTGCATCATTGCACTCTAGGCTGAGAGACAATGCTCTCAAAAAAAAACTCTAAAAAAAAAAAAAAAAAAAAAAGATATAAATGCACTTTATTGGTAAGACAATATCTGATCTAGAGACAGAAAGCACATTTATTCTGTTCTTTTCAGAACTACTTTGCTGTAATTTTTTTTTTTTTTTTTTTTGAGACAGAGTCTCATTCTGTCTCCCAGGCTGGAGGACAGTGGCATGATCTTGGCTAACTGCAGGCTCCATCTCCTTGGTTCAAGTGATTTGCCTGCCTCAGCCTCACAAGTAGCGTAGATCACAGGCATGCACCACCACACCTGGCCAATTTTTCTATTTTTAGTAGAGATGGAGCTTCACCATGTCGACTAGGCTGGTCTTGAACTCCTGACTTCAGGCAGTTTGCCCGCCTCAGCCTCCCAAAGTGCTGGGGCCTCCCAAAGTGCTGGGATTACAGGCGTGAGCTACCACGCCCGGCCCCCAATTTCTTTTAATAACAGTCTCAACTCCAACTATATAGTTTATGTACCAAAGATGAAGTTGACTTAAGTCTCTATCATAAATTGATTAATATTCTTATTTCAGTGGTCTTTTCCTTAAGAGAATAAACTAGGTAGAGGTATACGTAGCAATGGTTTACTCTTTTTTTTTTTTTTGGGACGGAGTTTCGCTCGTTACCCCGGCTGGAGTACAATGGCGCGATCTCGGCTCACTGCAACCTCCACCTCCTGGGTTCAGGCAATTCTCCTGCCTCAGCCTCCTGAGTAGCTGGGATTACAGGCACACGCCACCATGCCCAGCTGATTTTTTGTATTTTTAGTAGAGACGGGGTTTCACCGTGTTGACCAAGATGGTCTCAATCTCTCGACCTCGTGATCCACCCGCCTCGGCCTTCCAAAGTGCTGGGATTACAGGCTTGAGCCACTGCGCCCGGCCCATGGTTTACTCTTTAACACAAGCAAAAACTTAAGTCAGTCAAGTTAACTAATCTTGGCCAGACATGGTGGCTCATGCCTGTAATCCCAGCACTTTGGGAGGCTGAGGTGGGCAGATCATTTGAGGCCAGGAATTTGAGACCAGCCTGGCCAACATGGTGAAACCCTGTCTCTACTAAAAATATAAAAATTAGCCTGGCATGGTGACGTGTGCCTGTAATCCCAGCTACTCAAGAAACTGAGGCACAAGAATCCTTTGAACCCAGGAGGTGGAGGCTGCAGTGAGCTAAGACCACACCACTGTACTCCAGCCTGGGCAACAGAGCGAGACTCTGTGTCAAAAAAAACAAAAAACCCACAAAAAATAAAAACAAAAAAAAAAACACGAATCTTTCAAAGGTTAAAAGTTATGAGGCAAGGGAGGAGACAACCTCTTCTTGGGGTAACAGACATGAACTACAGTATATAAACATTTCTGAGATGAAAATAATTTAAGTGGCCGGGTATGGTGGCTCACACCTGTAATCTCAGCATTTTAGGAGGCTGAGGCAGGCGGATCACGAGGTCAGGAGTTCGAGATTAGCCTGATTAACATGGTGAAACCCCGTCTCTACTAAAAATGCAAAAATTAGCTGGGCATGGTGGCGTGTACCTGTAATCCCAGCTACTCAGGAGACTGAGGCAGGAGAATCACTTGAACCTGGGAGGCAGAAGTTGCAGTGAGCTGTGACTGCACCACTCCATTCCAGCCTGGGTAAAAGGGGGAGACTCTGTCTAAAAAAAAAAAAAAAAAACAGAAATTTAAGTTTGGAGATGGAAGACCTTTGGCTTTAGTGTTTGGTTAATCACCAGGTTTGGGTATTCCATGAACTCAGGTTTTAAAAAGTTTTAATAAGTTTAGATCTATTTCTGTAAAGTATACTAGTTTACCCTACAAGTGAGAAAACATTCATTTACTGCTCTGAGGCAGAATCTATAGTTGAAATTATTTTACCTTAATATAAATACTGCCAGGTATTGATTGGTTGATTCATCATGCAATAAATGGATATGTGACCAAATTTACACATGAAATATATCTTTCTGTATTTTTCACGATCTGCGGCACTAGATTCTAGTAACATGTCTTTATTCTGTGAATGAGAGGGTCAAGAAATGTCTAGCAGGCCGGGCGCAGTGGCTCACGCCTGTAATCCCAGCACTTTGGGAGGCCGAGGCAGGTGGATCACGAGGTCGAGAGATCAAGCCCATCCTGGTCAACATAGTGAAACCCCGTCTCTACTAAAAATACAAAAAATCAGCTGGGCATGGTGGCGCGTGCCTGTAATCCCAGCTACTCAGGAGGCTGAGGCAGGAGAATTGCCTGAACCCAGGAGGCGGAGGTTGTGGTGAGCCGAGATTGCGCCATTGCACTCCAGCCTGGGCAACAAGAGCGAAACTCAGTCTCAAAAAAAAAAAAAAAAAAAGAAATGTCTAGCTAGTAAGAGAAACTCTTAGTTTAGCTATGCTTAGTAGCACTGCTTTTGAGATGTAGTCTCACGGTGACATGATCATGGCTTACTGCATCCCTGACCTCCCATGGTCAAGCAATCCTCCTACCTCAGCCTCCCAAGTAGCTGGAATTACAGGTGTGAGGCACCACCATGTCGGGCTTTTTAATTTTTCTTTTCTTTTTTTGAGACAGGGTCTCACTCTGTCACCCAGGCTGGAGTGCAGTGGCATGATCATGGCTCACCACAGCCTCAACCTCCTGGGCTCAAGTAATCCTCTTGCCTTTTAGCCTCCTGCGTAGCTAGGACCACAGTCATGTCATCATGCTTAGTTTTTTTTTTTTTTTTTTTTTAAATAAGAGATGAAGTCTCCCTATGCTGCCCTATGGCTGGTAATTTTTTGTAGAGACAGGGTCTCACTATGTTGCTCAGCCTGAGTAGCACCATTTTAAAATATCATTCTTAGACTGGGCGTGGTGGCTTACACCTGTAATCCTAGCAGTCTGGGAGCCTGAGGCAGATGGATCACTTGAAGTCAGGCGTTCAAGATCAGTCTGGCCAATATGGTGAAATCTCATCTCTACTAAATATATAAAAATTAGCTGGGTGTGGCGGTGCATGCCTGCAATACCACCTACTTGGGAGGCCGAGGCAGGGGAATTGCGTGAAGCTGGGAGGCAGAGATTGCAGTGAGCACTTCAGCCTGGGTAACAGATTGAAAACAAACAAAAAATCATTCATGGTTAGCAAAATTGTTCCAAGTGCTTCTAGATAGAAATGAAACAATGAAATTTAGATAGTGCCTTTCTGCCTCAGTAAAACAGCATCCTTTCTTTTAAAGTATTTATTTATTTAATTTTGAGACAGAGTCTCACCCTGTTGCCAGGCCAGAATGTAGTGGCATGATCCTGGCTCACTGAAACCTCTGCCTCCTGGGTTCAAGTGATTCTCCTGCCTCAGCCTCTCAAGTAGCTGAGGCTACAGGCGTGTGCCACCACATCCAGTTACTTTTTGTATTTTTAGTAGAGACAGGGTTTCACCATGTTTGCAAGTATGGTCTCGATCTCTAGACCTCGGCCTCAAAAAGTGCTGGGATTACAGGTGTGAGCCACCACACAGGTGTGAGCCTGGCCAAAAGTTGTTTTTTTTTGGACATGAAATCTTACTCTGTCGCCCAGGCTAGAATGCAGCAGGGTAATCCCGGCTCACTGCAACTTCCACCTCCCGGGTTCAAGCGATTCTCCTGCCTCAGCCTCTTGAGTAGCTGTGATAATAGCCTGCCACTACACCCAGCTAAGTTTTGTATTTTTAGTAGAGACAGGGTTTCACCATCTTGACCAGGCTGGTCTCAAACTCCCGACCTTGTGCTCTACCTGCCTCGGCCTCCCAAAGTGCTGGGATTACAGGTGTGAACCACCACACCCGGCCCAAAAGTTTTTATTTTTAAAACATTGTGCTGGGCCGGGTGTGGTGGCTCAGGCCTGTAATGTTAGCACTTTGGGAGGCCAAAGCGAATGGATCACCTGAGGTCACAAGTTCGAGACCAGTGGGACCAATATGGTAAAACCCAGTCTCTACTAAAAATACAAAAAATCAGCTGGGTGTGTTTGTGGGTGCCTGTAATCCCAATTACTCTGGAGGCTGAGGCATGAGAATCACTTGAACCTGAGAGGCAGAGGTTGCAGTGAGCCAAGATCATACCACTGCACTCCAGCCTAGGTGACAAGAGCAAAACTCTGTTTCAATACAACACAAACAAAACCAAACATTTTGCCAGGAATACTGCAATCATTCCATGTCCCTGCCTTATGAGAAAAAAGAACTCCTTGAAAATTTTTTCTTTAACAAGAGTAAAATTAATGCTTATACTAAGAATGAACTATATCCCTCAATGTGTGACTCAAGTGAAAGAGATGAATGCAAGTTACATTTATTTCTACTCATTTAGTGCTGACAAGGCATCATCTGGATGGCAGCTAAAGAAGCAGCGGAGTAGGCAGCAGATTTTCACCTGACCCTTTCCATAGAAATAGCACCCCACCCCCACAAATCCTAATCAACATAAGTAAAATGTTCAAACTGCAGGCTCCTCTCCTCCATCAAACACAGTCAGATGCTATATTGTAAATTCTGGCTCCGTTACTTAAGGAGAAAATTGGAAGAGGCAACAACTACTTAAGTAAATAGAAATGTGATAACTTGGTGTTAAAATGTTCAAGCTAAGTAAACAGATCCATGTAAAATAAGAGTAAAGTGGTGATTTTTCTTTCCTAACAGAAAACTTTTAGCTCACTTGTCATCAGAAAGGCATTTTATTTAAAGTCTCGCTATGTTAGTGAAGCTTCATTTTCTCTTCACTTTTAATGTACTGAGAGAATCAAGACTACTGTTTATAAGCTTTAAAATGGAAAAGGCTCTAATGATAGGAAACGGAAAGAAACGGTTAAATGTCAAACAACTATCTATCAACCAAGCTCCAGAGAAATGCGGTCATATCAGATTTATGGTACGACTTTCAGTTTGGTTTATTCCTTGGTGCTGTTCGCTTTAAAACCATGACTGATTTTGCTGTCATACTGTTTTAAAAATCTTTTCATAGGAGATTGTCTATTCTGTAGCTAAATGATTATATACCTCCCCACTACAAAAACAAATCTAAAAAAAATCATTATAATTCCAATTTTTCTAAGCATTAACTAAGGAAGGTTATGTTAGTAGTCAACATAATTACTCTGTAAATAATTACCTATTTTGAAGACACAGCAAGGTGAAATTTTATGCACATTCACATGAAAAAAATAAAGCATTTTAACATTGTTTCTATATTTTGTTCAGGAAAGCTTGTTTGAATGGAGTTGGGTGGGCACTGAGAATACCATTGAATGTGTTGTAGCTTCTAGATTTTGACACAGATTGCCTCTGTGAATGAATTTCACTTTACTCCAGCACGGTTATTCAGAGTAAAACCAAGAACCATTTTATAGTTTAAACATCAAATAGCTTATAAAAAGCCCTTTTTATAAGGGCTGGATAGGGGTACAGGGGAAACTTTAAATAGGAAATATAGTGAAAACTGGGCCTTATTGGATATAAATAAAAGTTTAAAATGTACAGATATATACAGAATAATTGAGGTGCTTATCATCGATGACAGACTACAGTAGGTGGTTTTATATATTAAGATTCATGTGATTTTACTCCTTCAAATATTTATTACAAGTTATAAGATTCAAAATTTCAGAATTGTTAACTGTAGTTGACTTTGATGGAGGGAGATGGACCAGGTGGCTGGAGGAACAAGCACAGAGAAGAAAACTTTTCTTTCTTTCTAACTGGTAGCTACATAGCTAGAAACTTCTTACTTTATAATGCACTTTAAATTTGTACAAGTCATATTTACAGCAAATTAGAGTTCCAAAATTTTATTACTTGGAACAACAGAGAGAAGCTAAATGGTTAGCTTGTTGACATGTAGAATATAATAGTGGCTTTGGCGATGTGAATAAAAAAAATTTTTTTTTTTTTTGAGACAGGGTCTTGCTTTGCTGCAGGCTGGAGTGCTGTGGTATGATCTTGGCTCACTGCAACCTCCACCCTCTTGGGTTCAAGTGAGTCTCCTGCCTCAGTCCCTGAAGTAGCTGGGACTATAGGCATGCAACGCCGCACCAAACTAGTTTTTGTATTTTTAGTAGAGACGGGGTTTCTCCATGTTGGACAGGCTGGTCTCGAATTCCTGACCTCAGATGATCGGCTTTTGTTGGCCTCCAAAAGTGCTGAGGTTACAGGTGTGAGCCACCGGGCCGTGCCCTGCTCTTTGGTAAATTTAAAACAAGAATCTTGATTCTTATTTACTAGCATTTCCCATGGTTAAAAATTAGGCCACTTTTTTTGTATTCTGATGTGAAATACAGAAGCAAATGACTGTAGCAACCGGCACTCAACATTAAAATCAACTAAAGATGCTAAAAATTAAAAGAAACTTACTCAGTATCTTTATGACTAGACATTTGTCTTAAGAATTTTCCTGCTTACATGGATACCTTATCATTCTCTTCTCTATTGTCACAAAGCTTAAGCTAATCATACCTTCAAACTCTTAGGCTGTTGTCGAACTTCCATGACATGCTTTCGTCTTAGTTCTCGTTCTCTTCGCTTATTATATTCTAGCTGGTTAGTGAGCTCAGTTTGATGCTGCAATCTGATCAACTCACAGCGCATCTTCTGAATTGTGTTGAGGTGGCGGAACTCCAGTTCTTGCATGGATTCATGCTGTCGAAGTAGCATGGCATGCTCTAAGTCCTTTTGAGTCTGTCTTTTGTTTAACTCCTAATCCATAACACAAAAAACAAAGGTATAATTTACAGCTGTATAATGCCAGAAAAAAATCCTAAGAAACAATAACCAGTAAACAGATGTAATTAACCCTGTGATTCAATTATAGTTGCATAGTAAATATTAGAGTTGTTACTTCTATAAATGGGCAATTAGTAGCACAAATTTCCTTATCATATTCATTTACTATTTATTCATATTATTTTATTGCCATTAGCTTAAGATATTATTAAATCTATATCAAGAGGCTTAACATTCTTTTTTGCTATTTTTAAAAAATTTTTATTTTCTGTAGTAAGCATTTGAACATTCTTTTTTTTACTTCTTAATTTTATATTTGAAGAGGGCTCCCAAGTTATCCTTCCAATTTCTTCGGAGTATTCTATTCAATTCTTTTTTTTTTTTTGGAGACAGTCTCGCTCCATCACCAGTCGCCAGGCTGGAGTGTAGTGGCGCAATCTTGGCTCACTGCAACCTCCGCCTCCCAGGTTCAAGCACTTCTCCTGCTTCAGCCTCCCGAGTAGCTGGGACTACAGGTGCGCACCACCACACCCAGCTAATTTTTTTTTTGTATTTTTAGTAGAGACAGGGTTTCACCATGTTGGCCAGGATGGTCTTGATCTCTTGACCTCGTGATCCGCCCACCTCGGCCTCCCCAAATGCTGGGATTACAGGCGTGAGCCACTGCACCCAGTCTATTCTATTCAATTCTTTTACATGCAGTCTACTCTGGTTAGTGCAGTGATTAAGAACATGGACACTAGAGAGCTGTGCTGCCTGTTTTCTAAATTCTGGCTCTGCTACTTGTGAGCAATGAGTCTCTCAGTTAAACTAATTGTGCTTCAGTTTCATCATTTCTCAAGTGCATATAAGATAGCTATTGTACAGATTTAATGTGAAGATGAAATGAGTCAAAAACCAGAAAGTTCTCAGAATAATACATAACACATGGTACACAATAAATGTTATTCCTTTACTTTAGACCTCACAGGGGTCTAAAATGTTTTTAAATAGATTCTTAAATTTTTGTTTCATATTGGAAACAAGTAAACACTTAACATCTACAATGTAAAAATCTTGCTCCTTTTGCCTTTGCAAACTCTCCCCCCAGAGGCCAACAGTTTGGTGCATGTGCTTCTCAACCTTCCCCAAGTTTATTCTGATTAGTTTATTATACAAAAACATACAGTTTTAAAAACTGAACAACAATATATGTTTTAGGCATATAACTGGCTTTCTTTATTTTAATTTAATTAATTAAATAATATAGCCGGGCGCGGTGGTTCACGCCTGTAATCCCAGCACTTTGGGAGGCCAAGGCGGGTGGATCACGAAGTCAAGAGATCGAGACCATCCTGGTCAACATGGTGAAACCCCGTCTCTACTAAAAATACAAAAAATCAGCTGGGCCTGGTGGCGCGTGCCTGTAATCCCAGCTACTCAGGAGGCTGAGGCAGGAGAATTGCCTGAACCCAGGAGGCGGAGGTTGCGGTGAGCCAAGATTGCGCCATTGCACTCTAGCCTGGGTAACAAGAGCAAAACTCCGACTCAAAAAATAAAAAAATAAATAAATAACATAACACACACATATCCAGAATCAAATCAGTAAATAAAAGATGTTTTTTTGAGACCAAGTGTCACTCTGTTGTCCAGGCTGGAGTGCAATGGTGCCATCTTGACTCACTGCAACCTCCGCCTTCTGGTTTCAAGTGATTTTTCTGCCTCAGCCTCCGAAATAGCTGGGATTACAGGCAAGCACTACCATGCCTGGCTAATTTTTGTATTTCTAGTAAAGATGAGGTTTCACCATGTTGGCCAGGCTTGTCTCAAACTCGTGACCCCAAGTGTTCCACTTGTCTCGGACTCCTAAAGTTCTGGAATTATAGGCATGAGCCACTGTACCCGGCCAGATTTTTAATTTTCATTTTTAGAGACAGGGTCTCACTCTGTCACAAAGATTGGAGTACAGTGGCACAATCATACCTCACTGTAGCCAAGAGCTCCTGGGCTCAAGCAATCCTCCTGCCTCAGTCTCCTGAGTAATAGGGACAACAGGTAAGTGCCACCATGTCCAGACGATTTTTTTTCTTTTTTCTTTTTTTTATAAAAAAAAATAGAGATGGGGTCTTGCTATGTTGCCCAGGCTGGAGTGCAGTGGCTATGCACAGGCACAATCCCACTACTGATCAGCACGGGAGTTTTGACCTGCTCTGTTTTCGACCTGGGCCGGTTCACCCCTCCTTAGGCAACCTGGTGGTCCCCTGCTCCCAGGAGGTCACCATATTGATGCCAAACTTAGTGCGGACACCCGATCGGCACAGCGCACTGCAGCCCAGAACTCCTGGACTAAAGAGATCCTCCAGCCTCAGACTCCTGAATAGCTGGGACTACAGGCACATCCACTGCGCCTGGCTCCAGCCAATTTAAAAAAAAATTTTTGGGCTGGGTGTGGTGGCTCATGCCTGTAATTCCAGCACTTTGGGAGGCCGAGGCAGGCAAATCACTTGAGGTCAGGAGTTCGAGACCAGTCTGGTCAACATGGTGAAACCCCATCTCTACTAAAAATACAAATATTAGGTCTAGCAAGGTGGATCAAGCCTTTTTTTTTTTTTTTTTTGAGAGGGGGTTTCGCTCTTTTTCCCCAGGGGGGAGGGCAATGGCGCGATCTCGGCTCACCGCAACCTCCGCCTCCTGGGTTCAGGCAATTCTCCTGCCTCAGCCTCCTGAGTAGCTGGGATTACAGGCACGCGCCACCATGCCCAGCTAATTTTTTGTAGTTTTAGTAGAGACGGGGTTTCACCATGTTGACCAGGATGGTCTCGATCTCTTGACCTCGTGATCCACACGCCTCGGCCTCCCAAAGTGCTGGGATTACAGGCTTGAGCCACCGCGCCCGGCCCTCAGCTAATTTTTTGTAGTTTTAGTAGAGATGGGGTTTCACCGTGTTGACCAGGATGGTCTCAATCTCTTGACCTCATGATCCACCCACCTCGGCCTCCCAAAGTGCTGGGATTACAGGTGTGAGCCACCGTGCCCGGCAGATCAAGCCTTTTAATCCCAGCACTTTGGGAGGCTGAGGTGGGTGGATCACCTGAGGTCGGGAGTTCGAGACCAGCCTGACCAACACAGGAGAAACCCCATCTCTAATAAAAATACAAAATTAGCCAGGTGTGGTGGTGCATGCCTATAATCCCCGTTACTAAGGAGGCTGAGGCAGGAGAACTGCTTGATCTGAACCCGGGAGGCGGACGTTGCGGTGAGCCAAGATGACACCATTGCACTCCAGCCTGGGCAACAAGAGCAAAACTCCAACTCAAAAAGAAAAAAAAAAAAAAA